CGAGGTCGACATACGCGTTCCCGAGGTTGTGCAGCGTGTTGGCCACCTGGACGTGGTCGCGGCCGTACTCGCGCTCCTGGATCGCGAGCGCGCGCTCGAGGACGTTGCGCGATTTCGCGTAGTCGCCGAGGGAGCCGTGCGCGTTCCCGAGGTTCGCCAGCGTGCAGGCCGACTCCACGTGGTCGCGGCCGTACTCGCGCTCGTTGATCGCGAGCGCGCGCTGGAGGAGGTCGCGCTTCTTGGCGTTGTCGCCGAGGTCGCCGTGCGCGTTCCCGAGGTTCGTCAGCGTGATGGCCACCTGCACGTGGTCGCCCCCGTACTCGCGCTCCTGGATCGCGAGCGCACGCACGAGGAGGTCGCGCTGCTTGGCGTAGTCGCCGAGGCCGCCGTACGCGTTCCCGAGATTCACCAGCGATGCGGCCACCTCCACGTGGTCGCGGCCGTACTCGCGCTCCTTGATCTCCAGAACCTTCTCCTGGACGCGCACCGCGCTCGCGCGCTCCGCGATCGACTCGAGCAGCTCCGCCAACTCCAAGAGCAGCTTCGTGTCCGACGCGCGGTCGGAGCCGAGCACGCGGCTCACGAGGTCGTCGACGTTCTCCGCATCGGCGACGGGCAGCGCGCAGAGCATGTTGAGGCGCCGCTCGACGGCGTCCGCGTTGCCGAGGAAGAACTCGCGGAAGAACTCGTAGGTCACGTGACTCTTGTGCATGGGCTCCGACTCCTTGATCGCGGCGTGGTGGATCTGGAGCTCGCAGAGATGCACGATCTCGCCAGCCTCGCCCTGCACGCGCACCGCCACGTTCATGAGAATGTCGCGATAGCCGTTGAAGCACGGCGGGTTGAACCGGTTCTTGGTCCGCACGATGTCGACGCGCGGGTCTTTGTCGAGCGCCTCATACAAACCCACGATCTCGTCCTCGGTCGCGCACATGATCGAGCCGCGTACGACGTCGAAGAGCCACGACGTCGCCGGCGCCGTATTCTTCGCGTACTCGTTGCGCGCCTTGGCCGCGGCGCGCGGGCGCCCCTTGAGCGGCGCGAGCTTCAGTACCGCGTCGTTCGGGCACGCGGCGGTCATGACCTCGGCGTATGTGTTGAAGGCCAGGTTCGCGACCGCGTACAGCTCGTCGAGCGTCTCTGCGGGGGTGCCTTTCAGCCCTAGTTGGCGCCAGTCGTCGTCGAGCTCTTCTCCGCGCCACCGGATTTCGCAGACCGCGCCTGCAAAGTGCGCGTCGTAGATGGCCTCGATTTGATCGCGCGCGATCTTGAACTGCTGGAGGTTCTTGAACAGCACGGCCTTGGGATCGAGGAGGCCGTGCGCCTCGGCGTAGACCTGGACCTTCGGCCACGCGACGACGTCGTCCTCCTTGGCCGCGGCGAAGGCCTGCTGCGCCTCTTCGCCGTAGAGCACGCCAATCTCGTTCTTGACGTCCACCTCCGCCAGGGGCTGCTTCGCCGTCGCGACGGCAGCGCCCATGTCGTGCGCTCAATGGACCATCGCGCGCGGGAATGCCATTGGCATTGCACGCGGGCAGCTAAATGATATGCGCGGCAAGGAGAAGTGCAAGGAGATGGCAAGGTGTTGTTTTTTGTTAATTCGGTCCACTGGCTTTTCTGGACATGACATTGTGTAGGCCACCGCGACCGAGACCGGGCTCTGAGCCAGGCTCGACAAGACGAGGTCTTGAGTACAGCTTCTTATGGCATCTTGTGCGGTCGTGGGCGGCGACGGTGAACGGTCGCGGGGTCGTGGCGGGGTCGTGGGCGGCGACGCGGCGTCTTCGCGTCGCGGGGGTCGTGTGTGTTCGTGGGTGGCGACGGTCCGTCCCTCTACTCGCAGCCGAAGCCGACGAAGCGCGCCGTGATCGCCGCGGACGCGGACGCGGTCTCGACGAGGAACTCCGAGAGGCGGTCCGACGCGGTCGACGGCCGCTCGCCGAGGTCCGCGCCGGCCGCCGAGAAGGCGCGCCGGAGCTTACCCGCCGTCGCGGGCGTCAGCAGCTCGTCGACGACGAAGGCGTCGACGTCCTCGGCCGTGGCGAGCGCCGCGTCCTCGAGGTACTCGCTGAGCGCGTTCTCGACGCGCGTGACGACGGCCTCGGGCACCTCGTGGGCCTCGAGGAGCTCGCGCACGGACGTCGGCGTCGGCGGGGTCGAGGCGCCGGCGTCGTCGTCGACGTCCATGGCGTCGAAGGCCTCCTCGAGGCACCGCGCGGCCGGCGC